CCAAAAGGACCAAGCACAGAGCACAGGAGCACAGGGGACTTGTCCTTGATCCCCTCCATCCTCCCCCGCTCGCCATGCCCCCCATGCTGGGCAGGAGGAAAGCCCCATGGAGAGGAGATAGTTACTAGATCCCCGAGGTGTAGACGGGCTGCATGGCCTGGTAGATTTTCAGGAAGGGCCGACAACCTGGAAGACATCAAGGCAGGGAGAAAAGGCACACTGCTGTTAGCTGGCTGGGCGGAGGGGCCAGGGGAGGGATTAGTCACGGGGGAGAAATCCAAACAGGGAGGAAGCCAAAGCAAACAGCCGCTCCCTGCCCCAGGCAGCCCGCACCGACCAAGGGCAACATCTGCAATGGGCAGAAAGGATGCTGTGGATGAGCTGAGAAAGGGCAAAGCCCTCACAGTTTGGGTCCTGTAGAACCTAGGGCAAGTGCTGAGCTGGGGATAGGGGTGGGATGATGATCTGGGTGAGGCACCAGCACCAGACCCAAACCCCTGTCTGTAGCCATCCTTGGAAAAGCTGTCAGAAAAACATTGTCACCCCGCAGCTCAGGTTAGTGCCCAGCATCGGGAGGGCATCCTCTGAGGGCATCTCTGCCAGAAAAGGGTAGCACCCTGCTATTATGAGTGAACAGTCTCTGAGAGGAAAAGGGGGATTCAAATTGCCAAGGAAATGGTGGAAAACATCCCCCAAGGAGGATAAGCCTGCCCAGGCAGTGTAGATGGTGCTGTGGGAAGCAGCAGGCTGGGGAAGCAGCTGGGGGCACCTACCGCCTTTTGACTCAAAGTTGGGGATGCCGTGCATGATGACGTGGTGGAGGAAGAGGGGCTTGTTGTTCATCTTGATGCTGCCTGAGAGGAGCCCACTGAAGTAATGGATGTACCTGGAGGGCAGACAGGCAGCTCAGGGACAGAACCCACAGAGGAACATCCACCTTGGACCCCTGCATCCAACCACTCTATGGGGAAAAACCCAGCCTGCAAAGGCCTGCCAGGACCCACCTCTTCTGGGATGGCTGTCCCACCGGCACCACCTTGTCCTCATAGAAGCGCTTCATGGCAAACCTGTCCAGAGCCTGGTCAGCACTGTGGGGATGAAAGGGCAGATGCAGCTGAAGGGAAGTATTGGCACCAGCACCCCAGCACCACCGGCATGGAGGTCACCAGCGAGCCCCAGGGCCACCCCAGGACCTCACGTCTCTCTCACCTGGCTGAGATGTTGCTGTAGTGCATGTAGGCAGCCACTACCACCCCCAGCCGGCCACGGTTCCCCTGCAGGCACACAGCAGAAGGGGTGTCACAGGGGCAGCGGGGCCTGTGAGCACCAGGCACAGACATCCACAGAGGCACACACTGATCCCTATAAGCATACACCAACCCACAGATGCCCCAACCCTTACAAGACACACACCAATCTGCACATATGTGCTGACACCTACCCACACCCCAAACCACAAACCACTGCATTCTCTACATCTCTCAGCCTCTGAGGCTGCTCAGCCCAATCCCTGCAGCCCCACACAGCCCCAGTGCCCCCAGCGCTGTGCCCTGGTGACGGGTCCTGCCCACCTTGTTGTGCAGCACCACCACATTGTGTGCCGCTGCGTTCAGCCACGTGTCCATGGCTTTGCAAATGCTGCAGATCTTCTCCAGCGCAGGGGTGTGCATGTCAGGCCATCCAAAATCCAGCACCTGAACAGGGGAACAAACAGCCTGGGGTCACAGGCACGCCCATGCCGAGTTCCCAGCATGCCAGTGGGCAAAGCCCAGGGCACATAGGCAGGGTAGGCATTACTGTGTTGCTCTGACATGCAACCTCCCAATCCTGCACCCCACTGCCCAGATCCCTGGCCCAGGGAGGCCACCGTGGTCCCAGATCTCAGGCCCCTCACCCCAGGTTACTTGGCTCAGCTTCTGTGGGCTCCCCCATTCTCAGAGGGATGAGGACTATGCCTTAGGGAGGTCTCCAAGAGATTCCAAACAGCCAGTTTTGGGCTGAGAATGGGGGGCTGGGAGGGTAATGGGAGTCAAGCTGAAATACCACAAACACAGTGTGAAGTCTCAGTGCTTTTCTCAGGGTTTTTCCCAGCTAGATAGAATAGAAAAGGTGGCTGTTTTTCCCCTAGACATCCCGTAGGAGGGAGCTGGTCCTGCAGACAGGCCTGCCCTGAGGCCCCTGAGAACTCCCTGCTTCTCACAACTGTGACCCACCTTGGGGTGAAGTTTGTTGACATCACGTCTCCGCTCAGAGAGGTTGAAAAGCTTTAGGGAAGATGAAAAACAGAGTGAGAAGACATCTTCCTTGCTGCCACCTCACCTCTTCCTCACCCCAAAGCCTTCCCAAATCCTGCTATGAGAGGCTTCCCCAGACACATTACCCTGAGTAACATTTTGCCACACGACATTACAATGACCAAAAACTCCCAGGAGGTCTGAAAGGGATGGATGGTCTTCTATGAAGAAAAAATATATCCAGCATAGTGCAAACACCCTCCCTCAAAAGAGCCCAGACAGAGACAAGGATGCAGTATCCATCCCCTGCAAGTACCCATCCCCAGCAGCTGAGCACCCCAGCCCCTCCAACAGCCTGACAGGGACCTGGCTGTGCCACTCACCACATAGTTGTTCCCATGCTTGGACTTGAGCATGTGAGCCACTTCACGGAGGTTGCTGGAGTAACTCTGCTCTTCAGCTGTGCTGGGGTAGGAGACAGCAATGATCCGCTCCGTGATGTACACCAGGTCCAGCTCACAGCTGCTCTCCATGGCTGCAGTCAGGCTCATGCTTCTGGGCAAGGAAGGGGACCACTGTCAAGATACGCATGGGGAGGGGACACAGGGACCCTTCCCCACCCTGCAAGACAGGCTGGGACACATGGGGTCACAGATGCCTGCAGCCTGTCCCCTGCTCCCAGTCCTCTTGGGGTATCTTAGGGACCCTGGTGGGTCATAACTCCTGTGCCTTCTTCACCGGAGCATCTCCCAGGTATAGCACCTCTGGAGAAGCAGGTCTCAGTGGAAGGGAGCTTCAGGCAGAGCAGAGATAGTCATCAGAAGGGGAAACTGAAGCAAGTACCTGGATGTTTTGCAGCGTGACTGCCCACTCCTGGGGGATTTTGTGGCATCCTAAAGAACCAAAGAGGAAAAGCAAGTTACTGCCATGACCCAGCCACAGCCAGCACAGGGATCTTGCTAGACCTGGGTGTGATGGTGATGCCAAAGTATCCTACCTCCACGACACTGCACTGAGCATCCTAACACCCCCAAAATATCACTGTCTCCAAAGTCCACCAAGCATCCCAATAGCAAAGCAGCTTGACATGCCCCACATACAAAACCCAACTCTCACAACCCCAGTGCTGCATGGACCAGCTGCCATAGGCACTGTGGGGCTGGTGCCTTGCCAAAGAGTCCTAGAGGACCTTTTTGGAGGATGCTGAGCAGGTGGACACAGTCTCAGGCATGTCACAAGTCCCTCTTGTCTCCAGGATGCTGCGGGCACACCTGGTGGGACAGAGCTGCTTTGGCCCTGCCTGGAGCAGGGCAGGTTTGCTGCCCAAGCAGCATCGAGGAGCCAGCCAGGCACGACAGTTTGCTTTGGCCCCAGCTCCACCGAGCCAAACGCCTGGAGGAAATGTTTGAGCTCTTGGAGCAGGAAACTTCTATTTATGCATGTTCTCCGACCTCGAAAATTTCATCTGCAGCCGTCTTGCTCTGTGACTTTGTGACCTCAGCCGAAAAACAAAGCAGGGTTTCCAAAAAAAGCTGCTGAGGAAAAACACACTTGCACCTCATTAGTTTTAGTATCTCCAGCTAATAAGCAGAAGTCATTTAAAGACTCATCTCATGCAGCCAACCCGCCTGGAAGGATCAGAAATAAGAGATGCATCCTGCAGCTGATTCCTGGGATGCCCCATTGGTCCCCAGAGCTGCAAGACTGCTGCTACTCTCCTCAGGGTTGCAGCATCCCACAACCAGCACACCAAAGCACACAGGTCAAGGTGGGAGAGCAGTTTCCCCGACATCCTTCACCCGCCACCTTCTGCCCACCCAGCACACTCCCAGAGCTGCTGCCATGGACAGCCAGCGTTACCCTCCACCAGCCTTACATGCCCCTCTCAAGGTCAAGTTGCCCTGCAGAGCAGAGCCAGGCTCAGCAAGTCTGGGGCCTGGGGACAGTGTCATCTCTCCCAGCTAAAGCAGTTCCAGAAGGCAACAGCTTTGCCTCCGTGCCCAGAGGTGCTTGAACAGTAGTGACAATTCCCCTCCAGTTTTTCCTTAGGGTGTCCCAAATTGCCTGCTCAACCCAGAAAAGCCCCAGCATTGCTGAGGGCAAACAAGGAGTTAAAATGCAAGAAAAAGAGAGGTAAAACCTTTCCTGGGAGAGCCAAGGTGCGTGGAACAAGCCTGAACCTGAATATGGACTCATCCCATCCCTGCATCATCCACTAATGATCAGGATGGGATCCCCACCATGGCTTGTGCAGTGCCTCAAATGTCCGTAATGGAGATCTCCGGGGTCCCACACCCACCAGCCAGGGAAGCCCCATCAGCTGCAGCAGCTTCCCAAAACCACCACCTTTCCCAACAGAGAACTGACATGGGGAAACCAGGAATCACCACATGGGTCAGCTGAGGCACAGGAGGGCAAGCATGGTGGGGACGCCAGAGCCCCTCTCCCTCCCCATACCTGGATAGCAGTGAGCCCCTTGCTAATCCATTTCCACGCCATGGCAGGTCCACTCCTGGCACCCTCCAGACCTGAGAGAGCGGCTGCCCACAGCCAGGGTCCTCCAGTGTCCCCTGCCCCAGCGAGAGCCCTTGAGCTCTGCCCCGCTCCCCGGGCTCTGCCATGCTCCCCACCCCCAGGCACAGCCACACTGCGTCTCTGCCGCCAGCCCCTGCACGAGGAAGAGTCAGCCTGCAATCAGCTGATAGGAGCCAGCACTCCTGTTATTAAACACTCCTGCCCGCTGGGCTGGGAGACCTTGCAAACGTCCCCTGTGCACAGAGACTCCAGCCAAACCAGTATAACCCAGTCCATCCCAGCACAGGACGGGCTGCTCCCAGTCCTGTTGGGTTGAAGATCCCTCTGCCAACCCCACCAAGAATGTGCCTTCCAGTCCCAAGCTAGCTTGGCATGTCCCCAGGCTCCTGGCAGCACCCAAAACCTTCTGCTTGGAAAGGATGAAGAAAGGCACAAGAAAGGCTTCAGAAACATCGAGAAACTGCCCTGAAAGACAGCAAAGCCAGCAAAGGAGGCTTCTAACTGGATTTTTCTGAGGACGCTCTTTCTAAGGGCTGGAAACATGCCCTGGACAACCAAAGGGATTAGGAAAAGCCAGATCTCAGGTGAGGAAGGCTTTCATCCTCTTCCTCATGGGAACCATCATGCCTCCATCCCTTGGGTACCAGTCCCAACACACAGGGAGGCCAGCAAGTGGCTGCAGGCGGGGGACGGGGGGGAAGCTGTCCACATTGACTTTGGCAGCACATTTGTCTACACTGTCTTAGCAATTTGATGTTCACAGATTAAGTAACAGATCCCCAGTTCCAAGACAGGAAAGTCAGCTTTGCAGCAAAAGCCTCAGCCCCCAGTGTGCTGGGCTCCACCACCACCTCTGCCACCAACCCTGGGCATCTCCCTTTGCTTTTGGCATGACCACCATCACCTTGGCTGGCAGGGAGAGACGACTTCAGGATCCCAAGTTTTCCATTGGGAAACTACAGGAGCATTCCAGGCTGAGGGATTTTAGCTGCAGGGGGTGCTTGCAGCAATAGCACAGGTACGAGTGACCCCCCAAGAGGTCTTGATGCAGTGATCAGCCTCCATGACTGGTTGCACTTACCAGGACTTCTACCTGCTTGGTGATGCTCTCCCCCAGGGATGGCTGCAGACAGGAGCAAGGAGAGGGTGAGAAAAAGGCAAGCAAGAGAGGAGAGATTGAGAGAGGGACACACACACAGTGCGAGGCCAGGGTCAAAAGTTCCCCCTGGCTATTTCTGGTGCTTCCTAGGAAATGCACCATGATTCCGTTCCCTTCCCTGCCTGCCAACATGTCCTCTCTTCCTAAAGGTTGGGAATCACCCAAAATGCAAGTGCAGAGCTGGGATACTCAGGTACCAAGGATGCTGCTATCCTGCCTCTCAGCCACCACCACTGGCACTGGACCACCGTCACCAATGGGAAGCATTTGGCTGGTGCCACTCACATCTCTGGGATTCCAGATGGATCCTCCATGGTCAGACCCTACAGCTGGGAAGTAAACAACAGGGCAAGCCCAGTGCAAGTCCCACACCCAGCCTGGCAACTGGCCACCAGCAAGACCAGCTCCCCAAGATAAGCCTGATCCCACAGGGTCAGTGAAGGACCCCAGTGGGAGCAGAGCCAGGGTCTGAGATGCTCAAAACAGGGGGAAATTTGGTGACATGCCTATGGAGAGAGCTCTGAAAGGAGGCTGGGGATAGGAATTAACTTCCTGGAGTGGGGGAAAGTGTCTGGACCCCAAATATAGGAAGCAAGAGACAGATACCTCTATCTGGGAATGGTGGTTGTGGTGCCTGAGGATGGCACAGCAAAAGGACTCAATTGGGTGGGTTCCCAGATGGGAGTCTTGGGACCAGGAGGTTGGAGGTCACCCCCAAAACCAGGCTGCTCTACTCTTGGTAGCAGGGCCAGAGCAGACATTTCCATCCATGAGGCAGGGCAAACCCTTTCAATTTCCTCCCAAAGCCACAGTAACGGTCCCAGCTCAAAGCCAACATGTTTTTGCTGTTGATAAGTGCCCAAGGAGGTTGGCAGGGGTGGGGGGTGCAGGCAGAGATTAAACCCGGGGCAGATAACCACCACGGGGCCCCAGGGCAGGCAGCATGTTCCACTCCTACCCCATGCTCTCACTCACTTGGGCTCTCACGCTGCTCTCAGAGCTTGCAGGTGGTCATCCCCTACACTCACTTTGCAGGTGAGACCCCTGCCCAGCTATGGGCTGCCCGGCCCAGGGCCCCGTGTGGGGCACAGATATTGCGGCACTGCCTGGCTGCCGAGCCTGAGCTGAACCCCTGCCAGGGCCTCCTCTCCCCGGCACCTGCCCCGGCAAGCCTTGGCACACATCTGGAGCAGAAAGGAAGGGCTGCCACACCGGCCCCGGGCTATGCCAGTCTCCCTGCTGCCACGTGCCCGCTCTGCCTGCTGCCACGGGCATCGCCAGGCTGGGGACGGGGCAGGGGAGCTGCTCTGCTGGTGAAATGCTGCTGCCTGGTAGGCACCATCGTGTCATGCTTCCCAAGCCTCTTGCTGGGCATGGCCCTGCTCCAGGCGACATCCCAGTGCCTGGTGCCCCCAGAGCCCAGCCATGGCCTGGAGCAATGTGGCAAAGGACTGTGGCTGTCTGCCCAGCACCCCCACACCTGCCCTCCCCAGGAGAGGGTGAACGGAGATGATGCATCCAGCTGTTCTCCCGGTGTCCAGAGAGGACAGGGTGGGAACAGCCTGCGTCGCCCTGGCCCCAGCAGATTATTAAAGGCCCCTAGGACAGACAATACTACAGGGTGACAATAACAAGAGCTCAAATGCACGGCCTTGGGCGCCCCGAGCCAAAGGCACATCTGGTACACCCATCTCCGGCTGTGCAAGAAACCGCCCCAGCTCTGGCCAGGGAGTGAAGGCCAGGGGACCCCAGAGCCCTGGATGGTCACGTCCTATCTGTCTGTCCCTCTCAGCAACCCTGCAAGCTCCTCTTCACTGAAAGCTCCAGCTCCAGTGAAGAGGAGTGATGCCTGGGGTGCTCCAGCTTCTGCTGCTAAGCTGTGGGATGCCCTTCAGCCAGCAATGGTGGCAGGCACAACACCAAAATGGGGGTGCCCTTACCCCCAGCTCAGGACCCCTGTGATTTTGAGGGTGGAAGATTCATGTCCTGAAGCCCCAGGACAGAGAAAGCCCCATACCTAGAGCAGGATGCTCTAGAATCCCCAGAGCCCTGGCTGTCACCCATGGCTCACAGTGGAGGTGTCACTTACCAGCTCATAGTTGACAGTGGGGGAGCAGGGGGTCACAGCCTGCAAGGAAGCAGAAGAGAGCCAGGATTAGTCCCTGAACACCCTGTCCAACACAGGGCATGGAAGAGGCTGGAATGCAGCATTTACACCCCACCCACACCACAGGGAATACAGCACCCATCCAAGGAAGTGACAGGGGCATCCACGGTCTTGCCACCCAAGGCAGGAGCACAGGCAGCATCCCAAAGTCAAGGCTGGCTTCCTGGGAGTGGGAGCAGGCTCAGGGCCATGGCAGCTGTGCCATTCATCCTTGGCCAGGGAGCCAGGACAGGCCCAGCCCGGGTGGGCATGGCGAGCACAGCACGGCACAGCACAGCACAGCACAGCGCAGGGCGGGCGCCTGATGCCAAGAGCAGCTCCTGGAACAAACCCCAGCCCAGCCTCGTGAGCTCCTGCAGCCGCCAGCTGAACAGCCCGGCTATTGTTACCTTAATTACCAGCGGCAATTACTGACAATTAACCTTGGGTTTTGTGTGCACCCCAGTCCGTAGCAGCATGCCAGGGTGGGAGAGGCAGCACCTCGTTGGTGCTGGGGCAGCAGGCACAGGCACTCCAGTTCTGTGTTGGCACAGAGATGTCAGCAGTAGTGGGAGTGTGTGACTGGGGCATTTTGTCCTCTACAAATCCCACCAGGAACAGTGACGCTCAGTAAGCCATCCCCTGCCCTATCCCAGGATGGACCCACGACGCCAAACACCACTCAGAGGCTGATCCCCTACTATGGCAGCATAGGGACCCACTGCACCCCACTCTGCCTGTCCTGCCCCGGGCCATAAAAAGAAGGATTTGCCCCAAGCAACCCACTTGGAGCACCCATATCCCATCCCATCCTGATCCCCAGAGCAGGATGCCCAGTGCCTGCTCCCCTCCCCGGCTGCCAGCCTGTTCCCTTCCCGTCTGTTTTCTTCAGGGGTTCCTCCTCCTCCTGCTCCCTTCCCCTGTGCATTATTATTATGATTTTATTCTAATGCAGAAACGCTTCCATAAAAGGCCCTTTTCCCTTCCCCGCGGCGCTGGCCCCGCGCCAGCCTCCCTGGAATGTTCTCCGGCAGTGAGCCGCTGCTGCGGACGGACGGAGCGACGAGGGCTGTGCCGTACCGTGTCCCGCACACTGCCGTGCTCTTCCCCCGGGGATGCTCAACAAGCACCCCTGACACCCGCCCAGCCCCAGCTACAGGGCCAGAGATGGGGGGAGATGCACAGCTCCCCCACAATGGGACACACTGGTGCCACAGCCAGGTAGGGTCCTCCTCTGCTGTAGGCATGAGGAAGTTTGCAGGCTACAAATGCACCTCTGGCTGGAAAAGGGAAAAAACTGAGGTGCCTGTGGTTGTATTTCCTTGCCCTTAAGGATTCTCTGATGCGTGATATGGGCTTGTGCTCACCCGACATCACTCTTCCCATCCACAGGAGACAGCAACTCAGGCTGTATGGCACCCTCGCATCCCAGAAAGGCAGTTTTACAAGGACTGCAGGAATGTAAAGCTGTCTCCCTCTCTCAAGTTTGGCTCAAACATGCTCCCAGTTCAAGAAGAAGGAAGACCCTGCCCCAGACAATGGACCCCTCCCTAGGGAAGTCCAGTTCCTGCCCTAGAGGTGTAGGAGGTGTATGAGGCCCCTCCTGCCCCAGGGGACCGGTGAGAGTATCGCTCCATATCGCTCCATACAGCACTGCAGCCCCCCAGAACAGCCTCCATCTCTGTCCTCAGGGATTCCTGCATCCCTCGGTGCAGGGAGGGGTGCGGAAGGCAGGGGGACCCGCACACCTCTGGTCCAGGCTTTGCTTTGCCGTGGCAGACACAGCAGCCTTTCTTCTCCCCTCACCGGTGTTTGCATTCCTGCAGGCTGGCCCCCGCCGCCGACCCCGCCGCCCAGCAGCCCTGCCCAGGAATGCGAGGAACGAGGCGCAGCAGGGCTGCCGCCCACCCCGCCAGCCCCCCATGGCCCCCCACCCGCCACCCGGCCCCCCAGGTCGTAGCCCCATCCCTCCCAGCAGCCACATCCCACGAGCTGCTGCCTTGACACCCGAGTTTTGCCAAGCAGAAAAATCACTTTCCCAGCAAATGAGGCCCCATGGCCACGAGTGATAGGAGCCTCTGGTGTCTCATAAAGGGTTGGGCACACCCTGCAGCCTTCCGCTGGAAGGCGATGATGATGGGCTCTCTCGCTCATCACCAGCTGTCACTATACCTAGAGAAACTTGATAGCATTGACATGTCCGAGCCCAGAAATAAACACCTGGCTGGCAAACCTGGCCACACCGCCATAGCGCAGAGTAGCTCATGAGATCCCTCTTCCACCTAACCCCTCCAGCTGCAGCTCAGGGACTGACCTCTGCACCACAGATCCCGACAGGACTTCAGCACCATTTCACAAGAACTGAGCGAGTCTAGAGGAATGCAGACATCCACCTCCTATCCAGGGATGAGACACCTCAGAGCCTTCTTCATGCTGCAACCACTGCTCACACCCCCCTCCCTCAGCAGCTCCTTCCTCTCCCTCCTCCTCCCTCAGTAAAACAACCCTTGCACCCCTTGAAGTGCCCAGGGCCACTGCCAGGCCCTGCTCCAGCGGAGCATCGCCGTGGGTTGTAGCCCCAACCTGCCAGCCCCAAGATGCCAGCAGGGCTGGGGGAGAACAAACCTCCATGGAGAGGCCCTGCAATTCAGGAACGAGCTGGATCAGTGCAGTACTGGGGTCTCCCCAGCTGGGCTGCTGGAGCCGGGCGAGCACTGGCCCACAGCCCACAGCATGGCCCGCCCGGCTGCCGGTGGGTGATCCAGGCCCATCTCTGACGCATATCCCTTCCTTTGGGTGGCGGTTTGTGTTTTTCCCTTCCCCAGGAGCTCCGATAAACATTCCGGAGCCGGACGATATCCGGGCTGGTGCTGACCCTTACTATGCCAGGAGCAGATGCAGCACTAGCCACCCTAGCCCTTGCACAGACCCCTGCACACCAGAGATGCTTCCCATGGCCAAGCACCGAGATGCTGGCAAGCCAGCCCATCTGATGTGGTTGGAGCTGGAGACACACTGGCAAAAGGGATAGTGACATCCCAGATCTTCCCAAAGCAAGCCAAATTCACAGCCCCACTGTTTAGAAAGAACGTGAACCCCAAGAGAGGGCATCAAGGCACCCTACTCCCTGCAGCCCTGTAAGTGGTTCCCCTGCCCAAGCCACCCTGTGGTCTGGAAATGCAGTTGTCAAAAAGGAATGTGACTCAGCGGTCACACTGGCGTCCCACAGGACAATGCTTGGGCAGCATAAATGCCTGCTCAGCCCATAGGATCCCACCTCATGGGGTCCCACATTACCCCATGAGGGACCACTTCCTCCCAAGCAAGTTCATCTCAGCTTTGTGCCACTTACATCCCAGCTGAGCTGTGAATCACTTCCCCACGCACCCCACAACTCTCTGCTCACCTCGAGACCCTGCCTCAAGTAAAGGGGATCCCAGGGACAGCCACAGGCC